GTATTCAGTGAGAGGCAGATCAAATAATATTTTTTCAACAAAAATTTATTCTTAAATGAATTAAAATATTGTTCACAAACATTCTAAAGGACATTAACTTAGATTCAATGACTTTTTCACGATTTTATTAATATATATTTTCCGTATGCAATATTTCCTATTTGATTGATACTGCCCTATTTTTGTATCCAAGTACATCGGAGGGTAACGTGGGGCTCTTAATAAATTGATCAAGTGCAAGGGCATAAACTCAAAGGATCATCGTAAGCTTTTACATATCAACTCTAGAAATATAAAGGTATCTAAAAAGTGCTGAGATCCTGAGGAACTCTTGATAATCTTGTAATTATATCGATATTCCATGCCGTTGACTAGCAAAAAATACAGCATACGGTCAAACAAAGATGATTTTAACAATGAAAGTGCAGAATCCAGATAGGATCGCAGCACTTGATAGATAGAATGCATGTTAAAATGTTTTATAAACTAAACTTAGAATTTTAACTTGGTTATGCGCTTGCATTAGTGAAATTTATTGGTAACCTCAATACTACAAGTAAATGTGCTAAAATCACATAACTACTGCATCACGTGACAGGTCTAACTATTAAGTACGGCTCCGTGTAAAAATCATGCAGGTAGTACAGAAAAGGTGATTTTTCGATAATCTTCAAATTCAATAAAATTGGGTTTAATATATTCATTTGGGTCGAAAATGAATATAAAAGTTGATTTTGTAATAATTCTTCTTTTTTCGTATAGCCAGGGATAAAGTACTTGAGGTGTAATTTTGTATGGATAGTGTGCAAATAATGCCTATTTCAGAAACGAATAGCTTTAAAACCCAAGAAGATGTACAAAAACTTAATACATAATTAAAGTGAAAATGGAAGGCTTAATAAAAATTTACTTTAATATTTTTGTGCAAACGAAGTATTGAAAAGATACAAGGTGTTTGAAATCGAGAATTTGTTAAGATTCTTTAAATGAGTTATCTCCCTTTGCAAGTTTACATAGGTGGTGCTAAGAAAAAAATGGCAGCCTCCATGGTTAGCTGTACGCTGCAAAGTTATTTTGATGCATCCTGTGACTTTTATTGCAAAAATATGTGTGATGTGACATAAATTGGTTGAAAGGATTCTACAAGAACAGATTACCGAGGTAGGCATATTTTTCGGGCAAAAGTATAGCCATGTGTCGTGTTGAATAGTATATTGACCATGAAAGGATTCTACAAGAACAGATTAGGCATAGTTTTCGCGCAGAAGTATAGTCATGTGTCGTGTTGATTAGTATATTGACCATGTTGACGTTCTACCGAAATGGTACTCTCCTACTGACACCATTGTGATCTATCTCAGAAGTTTAACATCTACGGTAATCAACCAGGGTCCAAGAGTAAACCCTCAGAGAGAGGTGGCAGTCCGATTTGTCAGCTTACTCGACTTGGAGAGGGAAGATAATGTACATTTACACATTTACATTTGACGACGTAAAATCAGGTCCAAAACAATTTCTTGATTTAAATAATTAATTTTGTAGCTTGAAATAGCTATGTAGCTTTAATATGTTGACGGTGCGACCGTTAGGGCGAGCGTATATACTTATCCATTTTTCATTTAGATTGGACATGTAAATCCGCATGTGACATTCAGTGCGTATTAGACTCTGACGTCACATGACGATGACGTCGTTTGTATGTTGCTTTAACAAATTGAAGCCTGAACAAGGCTGATTTCATTCAGTTAATGACTATCTTTCTGCAACAAACAGATAAATTAATTAAATCAAGACAAGTTTATTATTCGTTTAACTTTTGTTGTTATTCTCGCGGAAACGTTGCTTTAGACTTTGTGTATGAAGCGATGCTTTGTGCATTTAAATTGCTGCGGTAAAAATTAATTCTATGGAATAAATGTGCAATTGTCCGAATTTTCTCTTTGCCCAGACGTTGTCATCAGAGCTCGCAGTTACATGCATCGCTTTGCTACCCTCGCTGCACTCGCTATTTATCTATTCAAAAGAGTTTGGTAAAGCTTTTTATAAGCAGTCAGAAGTATTTTACAAGTCCTATATGAAAATGTATAAATGAGTCTTTAAAAAAACCAAAATCATAGATACTTGTAGTATTACAGCTGTTAAATACGTTTAATTAAGCAAAAGACGAATTTCCATTTTCTTAACAGCTCGGGTACACTACCGTTAATGGAAATTAATTTTCAGCACAATGTTTTTGTCTCTACTCTAGCATTCTACAATTAATTGAATGAGTCCCCAAGCATGACATGTACAGTCTACTATTAGTTAATACAAATCAGAAGCGACACACGGTTTTCGTCGGTTTACTGCATACTTAATTTACTTCATCACCAAAAACAACAGAATTCTTTTTCACTTTATACAGCCAAAATTGAAAGATTATTTTCCAAAGACACTGCTCAATGCTCACATTTAAAATTGTAGTTTTAGATGATAAATACAATGGACCTTCAGATATCCGGACGCCAGATATCCGAATTCTTCAGTATCCGGACGATTTTTTATCGGAACGAAAATTTTAACGTTATTTTGTCTTGTTTAACTGGTGATTCAGGTAAACGGACACTTCACATATCTGGACAATTTCACCAGGAACCAACGCGTCCGGATAAATGAAGTACAACTGTAGTTGCTTCCAATACGTACCGTACACACCTTGTGACGTTTGCATGGCCTACTTTTGATATTTTATTGGGGTTAAATGATAATTGATAATATTACATTTATTCAATATAAATAATATACTAAAATAATCTCCATCCTGAATATAAATACATTTTTAATCACCAAAAGTTGTGAATATTTCTATTGTGCAACTTAAATGTAGTGCGGTTTCGACATTATTCTCCAATAAATCACGAATGTCATCAAAAAATATCAAATCAGAAAACGTATCAAACCTGTACAGTTGAAACAAATATTTTACTCTAAAATTGAATACTTATTTAGACTCATCGATTTGTAAGGAGTAAAATTAGTTAATTATGAGTTAAATTGCCACATTGCATTTTTCCTCCAATAAAGGAGTCAATTTATTGGAGTAAAAATATTTAATTGCGAGTTGCAATGGCCAGCGTTTTATTTTTACTGCAGTAAAAATAATTTTAGTGGAGTAAAAATAAATAATCGTGAGAAAAACAGCCAACCAAAGTCGTAGTCGTCTTTCAAAGTCGAAACACTGTAAAAATTACAAAAAGTAGCTGATAACTGTAGGTTTTTATAATATATCTTTCAAACAACATTTTTCGGCATCGGAGGTTATCCTGCAACATTCACGAAAACGTGGACTTTATTTCTTCATTATCAACCACTAATATGAGTAAGCATTTGTTCAATAATCAATATTGTTTCGTTTTGTCAATAAAGTGTGGAAGAGATATAATTGTAGTTCTATGTAAATAAAGGATTGAAAGTAAGCATGTGTTCTGTCCTTCAAAAAAGGGAAACACTAGTATGCGAGGAGGTAGAGAGCTAGCTGTAATAGTTCATACTCTATTTTCTCTATTTGTAAGTACGAGGGGTTATCAAAAAGTTCGTGACTGAGGCTACAAAATTAATACTATGTAGTCTGTGCTTTCAAGATTTATAAGGAACAAAAAACAACAACAACAAAAAAAAATAAAGAAATGTTGAAAATTTTAGCTTGATACATGTACGTTCATCATTTACCAAATTATTAAAAACAAAAAAGACATGATACGATCACCGCCGTCACCGTTTAATGTCATGACGTCCAACAACGTCATTGTTTGCCAATGTCCGCTTCTTCGACCTCATACACTTATTTTGATGAGATTACCTGGATCAGAGCAAGGACTTAAACAAACCCGCCTGTTAATATGACAATGTCATGAACAGTGACTTTCAATGCATGAAACATTGCAAATGGATTTAAACATTTGGAGAGATCCTCGCTTGATTGTGCCAGCATATTTTGCTTTTTGAATTTCAATATCTACAACACATGATCAACATCATTTTTGACACGATTGGTTTTTTTTACACCTTGACTACCAATTGACATTGATTATGCAGCCCTTATCTCTATGAATTTATTTTGGATTAAAAACAAGTACTCTGGATGAATTTTATTTCTTTGTATCCAAATTAAACATTTCCTAGGTCTATACAACTTTTCTCAGGGGCAAAACTTTATAGAATGTTGGAAATAAAATTACCCCTCCCCCATTTTGACGTTATTTTTAAGGCCATATTTGTTTGGACACTCCATGTAACAATATAAGATAAAATTTCATAGAATTTCCAGAATGAAGTAAAAATATTTTGTCCCAACAAATACATTAACTAGCGGGATTTTTGAATGTCAAATGTTCAAATCAAAAGAGTTTATCTCCGTTACACTTAGGTCGCAAAAACGTCGTGTTCGAGGTCGCGCTGCCTGAACGTATCATAGCTTACAAACACATTACTTATTAAAAAAAAAATTATGCTTTGTTGTTTATTCTTTTGAAAGAAAAGATTATGCTAATTATATTTTGTAAAATTCATTGATGTACCTAGAGTGGTTTTAATTTTATGGCGCTAGTCTACGAACTTTTTGATTTCCGCTCGTATGTATTCGATCATATCTTTAATTTCCTTATTTTTTTAAAAAAATTATTATTATGAAGAGATGTTACATTCCGATTTCACTTAAAAGTAAGGCACCACTAACCAATATCATTGAAAACTTGACAAATTCACGTACAAATAATCTAAAACTATATTAATTGAGGAACATATGTTTATATGTCCTTATGGCATATGTTTTAATATAAATTTGCCAAAAACAAATTAAGATAAATAAAAAAGAGCATGCAATTTTCCTTTATAAATCTGCATTTAACTACGAACATTTAGAAGGACATAATTTTCCATGTTCTAACAGTTTCCTTGTTTGTACAAAAATATAAAAGCTTGTGCTTAATTTAGGTCCCCTATAGGGAAAAGATCAAGATGAATAAAAGAAGACCAATTTTCATCTTGCAAGTGTTTTTGTTTTATATACAGATTAAGGCAGAAAATAGATGTGATACGGAAAACAGGTATAAATATGTAAGAGGAGGTGGTGATTATTATCTATAAAACATCTTGAACATAATGAAAAATGAAATACATTTTCAATTCAAGCCAAAAGAAAACTTGCTGTTCTGGATATACATTTGATGAAGTTTCTAAAACATGCATTGGTAAGTACATTAACGCAAACAATTTATCTCACTTTGATTTGTTTGTTAAGGGTCTCCGACCCTCAGCTAGGAAGGACAACTCTTTAATTTATAATTTAATTGAAAAAGTCTTTAAATGAAGCTTGAAAATCAAATCTTTTTATGCAACAATTTTCATTATATGCCTCTCAATGTGCTTCAGATCAAGGTTCTTTGAACTTCTCAGAAAGGTCTAATTAAAAGTAGAAATTTTTATCCCGAAAAAATATTTTAGATAACAATGTTTATAGGAAATTCATATTTGCAATTAGCCTATGTTCACTTTTGCTCACTTTTGAAGCTCACGTGGTTTTTCTCACAAATTTGTCACATAATTGTTAAAATGCAAAATCGTGTAAATTTGGCAATAAAAAAAAATTATTTTTTAAGAAAATTACAACTTAAACAAGGTTTGCTCTTGAGCCTTTGAGCAGATTTTTATTTAACATATATATTTCAAAAAATTCTGTTTTTTTTTTTTTTTATTCCAGAAAAAATGAAAATGTTTGAGTGCAGAAAGATCAAATAATTGAACACGCGGAGTAATTTGAAAATATCTTCGTTGTCACAAATTTTGGTGTCTATTTAATATGAAGCACGAATGTTTGCTTTTTTCTATAATTTATTTGAACAAAAATTTTGCAGGAAAAAGGACAAGGTAGGATATCGGCCAAACCAGGCCTCTTGTTTGATGTAAAAATCAAAAAAGTGGTAAAATTGTGATAGTTTGTGATTAAGAACTCAAAATGATGCTTGTTTTAAAAGCTTAAATGGAAGCCATAAGAGGGTTCAGAAGTTGGACATTTTCCAGAATTACCTCAATTCTGGTAGAATTTTTTTCATATTTAAGGTTCTTTTCCTCTTTGGAAAACGTAGAGCACAGGTCTGCCTATCTGAGATTTTTACACATAAATTGCATTTGTTACTAGTTTATAAAATAAATCAATTTGGTAGACAGGCAAGCTTGTGCTCTATGTATTCGGAAACAAAATGTGCTGCAAAATTGATGAAAATATGCACAAAAATTAGAATAATCGAAAATCAACCCATTTTCTGACCTCTCTGTGACCTCTGTCTACATGTATTTCAAAATAGATCCAATACTCATTTTGTGGCAGAAATGACAACAGGTTTTTATGGATAAACTGTGGAATCAATATGAAAGACACCCAAAATAATGGGCCAAAAGGGGATCTTACCCTATCTTGTCCTGTAGAAAATTGATTTATTTGTAAGACATATCTACAATACAAATAGGTCAACCTAATTGCTGTGTAGAGCCAAAATAAGGGCATTTACCCCCATTTTGGTTTTGATTTTGAGGTCACCTGAGTAAACTAAGGTGACCTATTGCTATCTGTTTTCGTCCGTCGTCGTGCGTCGTGCGTTGTCCGTTAACATTTGAACATTTTCAGTTTCTTCTCTGCAACCACTGAACCAAATTTGGCACAAAGCATCTATGGGTAAAGGGGAACAAAAATTGTGAATTTCATGGCCCCTGTCCCCTGGGGCCTTGGGGGTGGGGCAAAAACCACTAAAATTAATGCAATCTTTAAAAATCTTCTTCTTTACTCCTGGACATCAAGCAGTCAAACCATTTGCATGATTGTAAACAGCATTGTGTGCTCTACCAAAATTGTGAAATTCATGCCCCGGGGTCAGGGGTTCTAGTGCTAGGGCAGGGCTAAATAAGTATATAGTGAAAATGTATTCTTTCTTTGAAAATCTTCTTCTCTTCTCCTGGGTATTAAATAAACTAACTAAGTGCATAGTTATGATGAGCAAGAGTGCCTCTACCAAAATTGTGAATTTTATGGTCCCAGGGTCAGGGGTTCTGGTGTTAAGGCGGGGCTCTATAGATTATATAGTGAAAATTCATGAATTCTTTGAAAATCTTCTTCTCTGCTCCTGGGTTTTAAATAAACTAACTAAGTGCATAGTTATAATAAGGAAGAGTGCCTCTACCAAAATTGTGAATTTTAGGGCCCTAGGGTCAGGGGTTCGGGTGTTAGTATGGGGCTCTATAGATTATATAGTGAAATTATATGAATTCTTTGAAAATATTTTTCTCTGCTCCTGGGTATCAAATAAACTAACTAAGTGCATAGTTATGATGAGCAAGAGTGCCTCTACCAAAATTGTGAATTTTTTGGCTCCAGGGTCAGAGTTCGGGTGTTAGGGTGGGGCTCTATTGGTTATATAATTAAAATACATGAATTCTTCAAAAAAAAATTATTTTCTGCTCCTTTGAATTAAATAAACTAACTTAGTGCATAGTAATGATGAGCATGAATACCTCTTCCAAAATTTTGATTTTATGGCCCTAGGGTCAGGGGTTCTATTGATAGGCTCTATTGATTATATAGTAACAATACATTAAATCTTTGAAAATTTTCTTCTCTGCTCTTTGGTATTAAGCAGATGAACTACCTATGTAGTTATGAGGACCCTAATCTTCCAGAATTGTGAATTTCAAGGCCCCAGGGTCAGGGGTAGCATAGGGAGGGGGGCTGTACTTACATACTGAAACTGGATGAATTGTTTGAGATCTGCTCCTTGATATTAATCAAATATTTTTTGAAAAGGGTGTCTTTTCAAAAATTGAGCAATGTGTGGATCTAGGCCTAAGGGTCAGGGGTTCGTGTGTGATAGGGGCATTACTGATTATTGCTGAATATTACTGATTAGTTGAAATGCATTTTTTGTTCCCCCACCCTGCCTATGGGTATTAAGTAAACAAACTAAGCAACTGGTAAGTGTATTGTTATGATGATCAATGGTGCCTCTTTCAAAATTGTGAACACCATAGCATCTGGCTTAAAACATGAATCAAATTAAATCACTGGAAAGTCGTTGCATAATGCTCAGGTGACCTATAAGGCCCATGGGCCTCTTGTTAATAAAGCTATGTGTATAAATTCTAAAAATATAATTGATAAAAATTCTTATTACTTTTGATGGCAGGATCCAACTTAATTAGTTTAAATTCTATTTTAACAAATTAATTGATTGTTGAAATTTTGAAATACCCTTGGGTGATTATAACAGGACCTAAATAATTATACTGTTTTACCCTTTTGTGTCTATCTGTATATCCGTCCGTGTAGCTGTCCGTCTGTCCGTAACAAATTTTCCTCGAAGTTTTCTCAGCAACTACTCTAACAGGTGCTTGAAATTTTAGTACATGCTTTGTTGAGGCATGCAGTATGCTGGGATTTATTCTCATATGAATCTGATGTCCAATTCCTATTTATCCGTGCATATACCAATATCGTTTATCAATATGATATTGTATTATCACATATATTTGGGGTATAACTAGCTAGTGAGCAATGGCTCAGAGATTTCCTATTTTTCTTGTTTTAATTGTTTCTCGTCAAATGCAGCCCTCTTTACCTTTTTTTAACAAGGAAACACTGCAGTTCATGTTATTTCTGTATTTTCTGTACATTAACATGGCTCAAGAGCGCAGGATAATAACAGTTTTTACCATGTGTTCGACTGCTCTCCATGTAAAAGAGCTGGCATGATTTTTTAAAGGTTACTTTCTCCCATCATAAAAGTTTCAGACCAAAAATTTTAAAGAGATATTTCCTTTTTAATTATAACAACGTCTTATTTTAAAAATTAAACAATACTTTTCTTATTTTCATATCCTTTGGCAAGATGTCCTTATGCAGCATCATTATTTTTCGGTGCTATATTACAACAAACCAAGATGAGTATGAAAAAATGGCAAAGTAGTTGAAAAAAAAAATTATGAAGCCAGTTTGCATATTCAAGAAAATAGTATCAAATAAAGATTAATTTGTAAATATCTATGACAGAATAGTTAAGATGAAACACCATACCATTTATATTAGGATTATATCTCGTATTGAATTTCGATAATCTTCAGTTTTATTGCAAGAAGAATGTGATCTTAATTTTTGCGAAAGCCATGTGAGCTTAAAAAGTGCTCTGAACTGTATTGTGCAGTAATTGACCCAAAGATATGGCACTTATAACATTCATTGCTAAAACACATGCATATATACTTATGATACGTGGACGATTTTATGACTTGCAATACAAGTGCAAATTTAGAAACACAGTACTAGTTTTCTGTAGACCAATTAAAGCATTGATTAATTAATATTTGAATTGTAATTACTATGAAGTGTGAACAAACGGAATCCTTTCATTAATATTTACTGTGAAGTCTAGAAGACTTTTTATTGTAAACGTCAAGCAATGGGCCATTAGAATACATGTACTAGTTTATGTAAGGAATGTTTTTAAGTTTTGTGTGAGTTATTGGTGTGTGAATCACACAGACTTGTCACGTAGGCATATTCAATGAAGCGCGCTAGCGCTGCATGTAAAATATGCCTACGTGCAAGTCTGTGTGATTCACACACCAATAATTCACAATAACTTAAAAACATTCCTTATATTTACGTTTTACATGTTTGGAAGCGACTAAAATATACCAAATATTTGAATTTTTCGCTGTTCAATATCGTTGCATTTTTACTAACGTCGCTGTAGTCTCATTGTGACGTCACTTTAACGCAGGTTTCTCCGTGTATATTTCTACGCGTGAGTATACACGAAAATGGTTTTCAAATCAATTGCACAGTTAGTTTAGTAGAAAAACCCAGCGAATGTAAATATTAATATTTAAAAACAGCATAAGGATCTCATAATTAAGAGGTTTGATTTAAATTTAAATGCATTTATCTTACCAACTAGGATAATCTAACTGTGGCGCTTATATTTTAACATTGGAGAAACTATTAATTTTTACTATGGTACTAGAGAAAGAAAGATGGAGTACAAGGCGTGGACAATCCCCCGCTCTGAGACAATATCTTTCTCAATTTTTGAATTAACGGAAAAGTTATATATTTTTCTAAAAATTATGTTCTCAGTAATGTCTTCTTCAAAACATTTTATTATTTTATTTTACTGCACGACTTATCATTTGACAATTTTTTTTCAAAGTTGAAAGAATATAGTGGAAAATGGATTTACTACAGCCATAAAAAATGAATTTTGATCTTTTTAAATTAATTTTTCGTTAACACTTGAATGATAGAAACGTACATTTGAAATCTATTTCATTTGTCCAAAAATGGAAGCTGAACCCATTCTATATGAAAATCGAACTTTTTTGAAAAAAATACACGCTTCAACAAACCCGTTCATTTAAATTTGATAACTCATATACATGTACTTCGAAGCATAGTAGTTAACGCGGTTGGTCTTGTACTAAACCCTGTGCTGTGGAGAGAGTTCGAATCATACGAGAAACTTTTTATTTTTGTTTTCTCATATCATAAAAACATGAGTCAAAGAAATTTATTATTCATAAAATATCAAAACAATGAAATACAGAATTAAATCTGTAAAAGATTACATAACCATATAATTTGGAAAAATATAGCTTTCATGGACTTTTCGGATTGCGAAATATCTTCTCAGAGCGGGGGACTGACAGGACCGATAGGTAAAACGGCCCACTAAGAAACATGGTTCTGGGTTTAAAAGTTTCTATATTTTTGGTTCTTCTCTCTGATTTGAGGAATACAATCTTGGTAGCATTACGTACATGTAGCTTGCAAAGTGTGATATTTTGGTGGTTTTTTTTTTTTCAGAATGCAGAATTGGATATCAAGGACAAAATTGCAATAGTCCATGTCCATCAGGTTACTTTGGAGAGAAGTGTCAGATGGTGTGTTCCTGTCCGAACGACATTTGCAATAATATCAAAGGATGTATTTTTGTTAAAGAACAAGGTACTCTTGTAGATTAATTTTGAAACTGTGTTATTCTTATTAATAAATATGAAAGTGGTCTAAGAAATTAAAACTCGTATTTTTCTGAATTACTGAAATTCCATGAAATAAAACATATAATCACCGTCAATGAAAACGCAACGCTCTAATTTTAGAATGAAAAGTATATACGGGTTATAACTATGTACCAAAAAAATTGGGACATCTTTTACTTTGCCAAAACAGTTATTTAACGGTTGAATGAATTTCTTTCCTCTACCGGAAGTTGCTTTTTAGCCCTCTTTACACAAATCAAATTTTTGCATTTTAAATAAAATTTTTAACAATATTTTGGATTTTCAAGGTTTTGTAGCTGTTTTTCATAAGTATTTTACTAAAATCCCGGGGAAAAAATCCTTCTTTGTTTACCGGATGTGATGTCTATATTTCCCCAAAATGACTGATTTTTATTGCTAATGCTGGAGATTCTCAAAATAAAGAAAAAAAAGAGCTGCAAATGCAAATGTACACTATTTAACGACTCATCAGGCTCATGTGTTTCAATAGCATAAATAACAGTTTCTTGACCGGACGTTCAAGAGTTACTACACTACGCCTACTTAGAGAAAATTCGACCGCAGTATCTGAACAACAGGCAATTAAAAATGCTCAAGAATATTAATTTCGCTCAGATAAAAACATTGATAAACCTAATGCATGGTAGAAATCGGACTGCGTACATGTATGTTGTACATGGCGGACTAGCATGGTTTGATTAAATGGTCTGAAGAGGGGTGTTTTATTTAAATGTTATCTGTTAAGAGGGCTAAAAATCAACTTTCGGTAATGAAATGAAAACCATTCAACCATTAAATAACTGATTTGGCAAGTAAAAGATGTCCTAACTTGTTTGGTACATAGTTATATGCCGTATATAATTTTTCACCCTAAAATTAGATTGTTGCGTTTTCATTGACAGTGAGTATACAAATCGTTGATCTGATATGACTTCCTAGAGATGCCAGTAAAGCTATGAACCCCATACATTTTTCCGTATTTTCTCCAAAGGATGCAGACTACATAAATATATACCAGTGAATTTTCCAATGTAAAGTAGAACAAATGCATGAGGTTTTTTATGCTAAAACTAGCTAGTATGTGTACGAAATTATTAATGTCAGATAACAAGTTTGGTCCTCTTTCATGCAATAAATTTTAGCGAGGCAGAATTTTGAAGATCATCTAAGGTTTACAATTTCTTTATATTCTAGAAATTTATTATTTGAATCGTTTTCAAGGAAATTAGACCAAAAATATACAACAATCCGAGTACCCATTATTGTTGTATCATCTGTCCTTATTTCATAAAATATTTATTCAAAAGTCAATATCAATAGAGGGATACAGCAAATGTGTTCTAAAGCTTTTCTCTTGTCAAATAATTTACTTTACAGATAAAGGTTGTTCAGATGAAATTCAACGTGAAACACATAATGAGTTTCATCCTATAATTTGTTTTGCAACGTAGATGATGTGCTTATATATCGTTTTCTTTCTGTTTTTAGGTTTAACCACAGAGAGTTACATTTCATCTAGTGCAGATGATGATCTCATTAATATTTCATCTGTTATCAGATCAACAACTTTTTTCTTTGAGAAGAAAGAAAAAGAAAAAGTACAAAACGAAATAATTTTTCTAAAAAATCCCATCTTTTTGACTATTATAGTTTTAGTAGTTATTTTTGTGATTCTTTGCACTGTGTACATTCGAATTAGTTTTTTACGCTCTACAGGAAGTAGTCTCGTATAAACTGTTCTCTTTTAACTCAAAAGTATAAAACCAAAACGTTTTATGCTGTTGATTAATATACATGATATATAAAAAAAATACATTCCCATGACACAATACAGGACTTATTGAATACATCATGCCCAGCTTGGTTAAAGACTGCCGTGTCAATTCAGAAATATTATTTGCTCTTTTTTATACGCACTCAAATGCTCATATATGGCAGTGAATCGTGCAAAATGCATGAAATCCACCTAGCTTGATCTCCCTCTTTTTTCTGAAAAGACCTCACTTCTTTCGTTGGCACGCAGATTTTTTTAGGCTTAACCTTTGAACTTTGCTGAACAGAATCTGTCCCTTGTCTTTCGATGTTGGTGTTCTAGTTGGCGTTGTCGTCGTTAATTTTTCACAATTTTATTTTCTTATTAAGATCCAAATGACCAATTTCAACAAACTTGTCATTGGTTATGACTGGGACATCAGAAAGACATAATGAAAATGGAAGGATGTATTTAAAAATCTTCTCAAGAACCACTGGCCTAGAAAAGATGAAACTTTCCTTTTAATCGTAAGCCCTATGGGTAGAATGGGACCAAAAGAACTATATTCGGTTTATTGCATATCTTTGCCCCCACAAAAATGAAATTTTGAAAAATTCTTTAAATGCGTTGTATTGTATAAATCGTATGAAAAATATAAATTAACAAAACATCTTATAGTTTCAAAGTAGGTTATTGACAATTTTTTTATTTCATGACGTCACAAACTCGTTGGATTTTGCATTATTTTTCAGAAAAAGGACAACATGGACAAAATTTCAACAATTTTATTTATAGAATACATAGAGCGCATGTATGTTCAGGAACAATATTTGCATATTTAATTAATATTATTATTTTTCACATAATTACAAAATATTGAGCCTGAACACACCTGCGCTCGGTGATTTTTACTAAAAATATTGGCGCAATTTTTACATTTTTCTATAGAAATCATGGAAAGTTTAGATTTTCGTCATTTCCCTGACCTCATTTCAAACATATGACGTCATTGCTGACGAAAACATTCAGTGCTTTGAAGTCAGCATGAATCCCCTTGTTTTAAAACGTAATTTAATTTTACTCCGTCTAAGTTTGATTTTTTTTTTTGGGGGGGGGGGGGGGGGGCCAAATATTGGTTATATACTACCGAATAAAGTTCTTTAAAATCAAAGTTTAATGCATCAGATGTTTTTTAAAAAACCTTTTCAAGTCATATTAAAGCCATGGTCCTTTATATATATTACAGTAACTGCTACTTTCGGATAGTATAGATACAAGTTTGTTCAAAGCATCATTTTCAAGGGGAAGGGATGGGCCACAATAGGCATTAAAAATTTTGAAGAAATACGTACACAAAGAATAATTTTAACTCTTCTTTTCAAGAACAGTTTAGCCATTTTTAGTGATATTTATATGGGAAAAACTCTTTAGGGGCCCACAAAATGTTCGGATCAAGACCTCTGTGATTGTTGGGCCATATTTGGTGATCAAGGTTTATTATAGAAATATCATAGAAAATACATTTGTATTAAAAATCCCTGAAAATCCTATTTTTATGAAGAACAATGGCATGATTGTTAATATTTACATGGAAATATCCATAAGTAACATAGATTCAAATTTATTCAAATCATGACTCAAGGTAGGCCTAAGGGTACGGCAATACTGGATGATCTATACATTTACATAAAAATTTATTAAATCTTTAAATGAAATATGTGGAGATGACGATCACAATCGAGCTCAAAAGTCTATTAAACAATACAAAATAGGAGTGGAGCATTAACACAAACCTATAAAATATCAGAGGTGGGATTGAGCATCCCCTGCTGACTGGTAACAGCCATTGTTTGCTCTTTCTAATGATCGGGAAATAACGGGAAAATCCGTGTACACACTGTGTCACACTGTGGTTTAAAGTAAAATCAAGTCTCTGTTGTGTGTTTTAGTGGCACTGGTAATTTAATTTTTATTTTTTTTAAATAATTGATCTTGACTTCATGAATTCACAACTGCTCTTTGATACTTGTAAGCGGTATGACGTCCAAGATTTAAAAAACTGTAGAATTTTTTTAAGGAAAACTTTTTTCGAGCTCTTTCTTTCTTCAAGGACTGGGACTTGGATCCGTTTTGTAGCAGCTCAGACAGATAATTTTCTCGGAGTTCTCTTATTCAACCTGTGTCTGGATTTAAAGAATGTCCGTATAAATGTAGCATGTCCACCAGCAGTTGTGAACATGTAGTCTGGACTTAATTTGCCGTAACTGGAAAACCTCCCTCCCCAACAATTAAATTAAAGTTATAGCGAAATGGAATAGAATAAAAAATATATATTTAAATCACGGTTTAAATCACAAAAGTTTCCTTTCTCACATGTTTTATCATATTTTCCACTACGATTATTGCCGAGATCAAAGAAATGTCGTGGATATTATTTTCCAATTAATCATGAACGTCATCAATAAACACGTATCAAACCTGTAGAGCTGATATGTACTTTTGACTTAAAATCAAATACATATTTAGACCACATCGGCGTGTCGTCTTTTGCAATTTAAACATTGTATATTCCAGAAAGTAGCTGATGAATGTTGGTCTCTAAAAACAAGCGGGACTGTTTCACAGACCTCCCTATGCCATATCAAAAATCTGGAATTTTTTTTTGCGTCGATTTTATTTTGCGAATTTTGGTCAAAATAGTGTTGATTAATTTTTACGTTTCAAAATTTTGCGAATTACCACTGCTTTGTTTACATTTTCTGATTGGTAATTTATTTTTAAGAAAAATATTTTTGGGAATGTAATGAACTCGCAAATTTTCTAAAAATTTATCTACAGAAAAATTTTCCAGATTTACCGTACTTAAACTCAGTAAACCGATTTTGTCATTGTATATCCAAAAAAGATTATTCTATATAAGCTACAAACATATTTAAAATTAGTAAAAGGCTAATTTTAATGCAGCGAAAGCACAAATTGTCTGCATTCTATTCACATGTACATTTAAACAAACAAATTTACACTCTGGTGCTAAATGTAGCAGCATTATCGCACCATATGGTGACCTTATTCGTTTCTCTATAGAGAAACGATCACTCGTATTTAAGGGCTGTTAGTACGTGTAGTAGAATAGAAATAAAGTCCTAGTTGTCGTGAATGAAGAAAAATTACCTCTTCGGTTTATATAGATACAATATACAACACGGCTGAAATAAGAATATTCGTAATGAAATTTAAATTAGGGAAGATAATAATAACGAGCAGCGATTAGTCTAAAAAAAAATAGCACGATAAACAAATCTGTGAACAGGATATATATAAAACACGCAGACCCTCGAAAATGGTAAATATTTTGGAGAAATATTCCGATCGAGACAAATGTCCCACTGTAAATTGAATATTTTTCTCAATTTTAATTCACACTCTTTTACAACGATTTTATTTTATTGACGATCAAAAAATGTTGACATGATTGCTGATTCACTCCTGGTTTTTATAATTTTATATTTTTTTAGTATGATATAAATTTTATACTTTTTTTTTCTCCAAAAGACATTGATAGAAAGGTTATGATTACTTCATATATATTTAAGTTTGAAAATAATTTTTAGCAGTTTTTTGTTATTTTTTTGTGTTTGATGGCAGTTGTTCTCAGTTTATATATTAACAATTGCAAATATTTTATTTGTATATAACTAATGGAAGAGAAAATATGTTCAGTTCTGCACATGTATAAAATTTTTGTAATTAAAGGATCAGGGATCATACCTTGATCGAAACACAGGGCGATACATCGTCGGAAGCCACGGGTTTTGTGTTCATTCTATTTCCACAATAGTTTGTGGAAATAGAATGAACACAAAACTCGTGGCTTGCGACGATGAGGGCGATATAATATTTAGTTTATCATTGAAACTGCTTTAATTTGTTACTTTCAACGTAGTTGCGGTAAAAAAGGTTAAATATATTATCTAAGTGATAGATTGTTTTTTTATAGCCGGATATCCATCAGTTCTTCCTATGGTGTGGTTTTTTGGTTATAATTTTATTAAGCAATTTTATTTATCATTGTTTTAAATTAATTAATTAAAATAAAGCATCAACAATTACAAATACCAATGGTTATTTCATAGCTTCTACTACATATAAGGGATGGAGTGCAATCTGAAATGCAGCTTTGTAATGATAAGAGTTAATGTAGTAATGAAATGTAGTAATGTAGACTTTTTAAAAAAAACGATGTTCATTAACTACAAATTATTAAATATATTCAGAGTAAAATAAGGGACCATAATAGATAAGAACAGCTGTGTGCCAGGTGATTTGGTCACAGTTTTGATTCACTTTCAAAATTATAAACATTCTGATGGTAAAGTTTTTACTCTTACAATTAATTCTTGCAACTCTTTAAAATATTGTCCAGTGGGGGCATTAGAACACTACATTAATATGAGAGGAAGGACCGATGGGCCCCTTTTTTGCTACTCCCAAAACACTGCAGTCACAAGGCAAGAATTTTCAAACATATTAAAGCAAAGCCTCATGTTTTGTAATTTGGATGTCAATAGATTCAAAGGACATTCCTTTCGAATCGGAATGGCCTCTTACTGTGCATCACGAGGGATGAGCGATAGTCAGATTAGATTCCTGGGTAGATGGAAATCGGATGCATTTAAATATTACATAAGACAGGTGATACCATGTTAATATATGCTTGGGTGGAAGTGGATCCTCGGAGCAGATTTGTTTTGTTTATTGTGTAGGATCTCGACTTTGAAGTGATTTTCAAGAGTATTAACGTATGGGGGCATATGTTTATCCCTCATCCAGAACAATAGTGCCTAAGTCATTTGTTAATACTTAGGCTGGTAGGTGACAAGATCGCGTGCATATAAACATTTAAAATGGTGAGGAACCTTACAGTGTGAAATATTTTCCAATATGGGGGCATATGTCTATCCCTCATCTAAAACATTGCTCGAAATAGTCCTTAAATGAATACCACATACATGTGAACTTAGTAAAAAACAGCGAATAAGATGATGATTTGCGACTATAAGGGCATATGTTTATCCCTTATCGGACATTCTACATAGTGATTCGTTAATACTTGGGACCCACAGACATAATACACTAGAAATAGTAAACTCATTTGGTTGTGATGGGGGCATATGTTTATCCCTCATAAGACACCTGTAAATTCAAATTGTTGTTTTATTGCATTACGGGACATATGTTTATTCCCATGTTTGTAAATTTTACTCACTTTTGGTATGATTTATGTTTGAGGTGTGTTGCCATTTATTTTTCCTTTATGGGTCTGAACTTTCCCTAGTTCGGTCAAGTCAGTGGCGTTTTCATACCCATTTTCATGATTTTTCTGTTAAATCTAAGTGGTAATTACTGTAAATTTGGATTATCTCCCTTTACAAAATTGGTTTTATTTCTCATCTTGATATCTTGTGTCTGCTAAAAATTATATGTCATTATTAATAATACTTTTGAGAATTTCAAACAAATTATTAAACGTCACAAAGGTGGCATCACACGACAAACTGTTTTACAGACTTTTTACTCATTGAAGGAGGATAAGATAAGGTGTTCTAGCTTTGAAAGGATTATGGAAACAAATTAACCAGTTGATGGGTAACCGGGGTATCAAAATACTTATTGCATTAAAATAAATAAATTTAAGTTTACTTAAAATTTTTTATTGTAATCAATAAGTGTCCTCCTTGAATGTGAAAGTCTGAAATACTGTATAGCTGTGCTTTGTAATGTTAATTTTGTTCTATGTCTTACCGTGGTAGGAGAGGCAGAGATTGACCAATCAAAATCTAACAAATGAAATTCTGACCATGCGGTGCGTTACTCTGCCTTTTCTCCCATCTACATCCTTGGAGGACGGACGTTGTTTCAAAGTTTGTTATTTACCTCCTGCCGCCCCGCCTCCGCCATTTGTTTGTTGTTTAAATTTATGTTTTAGCGTTTTCAGACCCATTTTCATGATTTTTCTGTTAAATCTAAGTGGTAATTACTGTAAATTTGGATTATCTCCCTTTACAAAATTGGTTTTATTTCTCATCTTGATATCTTGTGTCTGCTAAAAATTATATGTCATTATTAATAATACTTTTGAGAATTTCAAACAAATTATTAAACGTCACAAAGGTGGCAACACACGACAAACTGTTTTACAGACTTTTTACTCATTGAAGGAGGATAAGATAAGGTGTTCTAGCTTTGAAAGGATTATGGAAAGAAATTAACCAGTTGATGGGTAACCGTGGTATCAAAATACTTATTGCATTAAAATAAATATATTCAGAGTAAAATAAGGGACCATAATAGATAAGAACAGCTGTGTGCCAGGTGATTTGGTCACGGTAATCACTATATTAAGGAGTACACAGCCACAGGCAATAACATAACTTTAAATAGAGACGCCAATTACAATATTATAAAAATACAAGAGCAGAGCATGTTTAGATTGCATTTTTGGGGAAGTTTTTGATATTTTGTACAAATACATGTATGAAAAAAATATATACATCCGAATATCCGAGTGGCAATTTATGAATCCAATACTTCGATGTTCGATCGAGTAATGTTAATATCACTAGGGCAGTACAAATAATTAACTTTATAAACTTTTCAACTTCCTTTATTATATAAATATAAAAAAAAAAATCTTTTTAAATATGTTTATTCAGCTTAAAGATCGAGTGTGTACAATATATGTTTAGAATTATAACCAAGAAAAAAACATTTTTTTATTATACTATATTAGAATTATTCAATGCCACCCATTTAAATTCCGACATACGCAACAAATGTATATTTATACGTACTAAAAATACAGCAGAAATATTTAGACACATTAAATATACAGCGGAATAATCTAAAACCTAACATATAGATCTATGTACAATTCTTTTAATCTTCACTTTAATTCGTCAAATTATTTATTCGATTTAATCAAGAAAATTTCTTACTACCTCTTTCAATTTTTCGAGATTACCTCTTCTTTTTTTCTCATAGGTGTTATCTAATTTGCTTTCTTCCAATTCGCGCTCAGACTCCATTGCGTCATCATCATCATCATCATCAAAGCTATTGTTATCATTGTTTCTTTTGTCATCGTCATCAATGAGGTCGCTGTTCTCGGTTTCCTGTCTTTTTCTAGTGGACCAGGTACATATCTTGTAATTGTCATCAAAGACGAGGCCTCCAGGACACGACTTTAAATACGGTACACCATTACTGCATTGGTAAAATCTGCCCGGGTTAAGAGGGTCAGCAAATGTCTGGTAACCTGCTCTTGGACACTCTGCAGTTTTTCTGGAAACGCATGTTTGATAATCTTTGTTGAATTGAGTCCCAGGGGCACAAGGCATAACAAATGACCCACCAAACTCATCACACTGAATAAACTTTGTCTTGTCTTTCGGATATGGTATGTGATAAATGTTACCCTTAGGTATACACATGGAAATGGAGTTCGAGGGTTGAACTATACCTACATAAAATAAATTATCTAAATTGAATGTATAGTTTTATTTGATTACATTTGCAATACAGTATGATTTGCTCTTACAACAAATAATTACAGTTGAGTGGCTTTACCCAACAAATCACTAATACGTATACGTATTCCAAATTTTAGCACAGGAAGTACATTTGATAAGAGATGTGTGCAAAATACACACCCCTCATTTCTTATCTCATCCTGTTAAGAAGAATGATCTAAATGTAAGAGGTATCTAGAAATATGTCTAGATAAATTTGCTTAATAATCAAGTGAAAGAAAGAAATTTAAATCGTTTATTAGGCAACAGAATATGTATGAAGTGGAATAATTGTCAAGTAAAGGGTTCCCTTGGTATTTTATAAAATCAAATAACACGTACTCGTATGTGCAGAACAATGATTCTTTTTTTAAATAGGTTAGGATATTATTCTAAATATGTACATGTATATCTGATTACCAGTTTCACAATTTGAGCCCGTGTATCCAGTTTGGCAATAGCAGGAGAAACCACTGGGTGAGCTAATACAGCTACCTCCATTTTGACAAGATGAAGACCGACAGTGGTTTACAATGACATTGCATGCTTTACCAGTATATCCGTTCGGGCACGAACAGTGGAAGTTGTTTACGAGATCCGAGCACGATCCACCATTCCTGCATGGGTTTGGTGCGCAATCGTCAATATTGACTTCGCAATGCCTTCCAGAAAAACCAAAGGCACAATAGCATCGATAACCATTACCGTTCTTCGAACAAGTTCCATGGTTTTGACATGGTGAGCTTTCGCACATATTAACTTCGTCTTCACATGACCTCCCAGTGTATCCAGAAGCACACTGACATGTAAAACCTCTTGGGAGATCTACGCATGTGCCGTCATTTTTACATGGACTTCTTTCACATTCATCTGATAAATAAAATTATACTAGTGTTTACTGAAATGAAAATGATAACTTCAGTTGCATTATATATACACATTTTACAACGTTTTCCATACATTACCCTTTTGTACCTTACTCACAAACGGCACAAGTCTTTAATGAAGTGTGCACGTACTTTTTCTTTTTTTTTCTATTGTACAAATATATTTAGATATACTTATCCTCCTTTGTCAACATTTGCCCACCTATTGCTTGACTGAAGGTAATACTAAACATGCTAAACGTGTTGGTCCTTGTTTTGCAATACTCCATCGTTGTAACTAACTTTCCTATGTAATGAACAAATACAGTCCTTCCTCGGTTTTTAATCGAGAACGAGGCTGGATCGTTGTCTCGTGCTTCTCCTTTCACGTCATAAAAAACTTCACTTGGGGTAGATGTTTCAGCTGAAGCAAAGAGTTCGACCTCTCCACAGGTAACGTTTGCCTAAAACAAAATCTAATACATGGTTTTTCCTATATGACAACCTAATGTATCTATGTCCTCTTACAGAGTTATTTTTTAATCAAACTGTAAGAAATCGACACCAAACATTAAATAAAACCCTGATGTAGATAATTGATATGAAGAAACAACCCGTTTTCACATTTAATGCTATGAAACCAAGATTGAAGAGCTAAATATATCATTTAATATCCATAAAATACTTGATTCTGATTGGATAAAAACTTCTTTTGACAACTGCATCAATAAAATCTAGAGTTCGGTTGCACTAAGCAGCCGGAACTACTTTGACAGTCGGTACATGTATATCCCCCGCTTCCAGGTTACTTTTTGAAGGAAAAATTGAATACCTTTGCTTTAATAAATATTTTTCTGAATTTCGGAATCTGTCCGTTACGTTCCTGACTTATTTTCTACTTTCGTTTCATTTTGAATTATCCCCCTTTGAAAAACAACTTAAAATCGTCTGCATGACAACTATACAGTTACGGGAAAGAAGGGAAAAAATCGTTTAAGCGGCATACTTTTCTTAAATGTTTGACTTTGAGATATCTGGTATGAAACAATAGAACTCTGAAAAAATGTTTTATGCTACCAAAGCGGGGAAAACCGTAAATCTGTTAAATCGTGGGAAAAAAGTAATCTAGAAAAACGACACTGCATGAATTGAGGATGGAATTCTTTAATCTTGAACTATCGGCAGCAGACTCTTTCAGGTTGTACAGCATTGTCAGGTTGTGATACCTATTTAAATATTCGGTTTGAAATGAAAAGATGCGCATAGGAAATTCAAAATTTCTGTGACCTGGAACTGTTAGGATATTTGAGTAGCTTCCCTTTACATTTACGAACTTAGATAACTTACTGGGGAAAATATACCCAGAGGGATAACACAAAAGGTAAGTTTTTTGTGTTAAAGAACTGTAAATTATTTTGGAGACTGTTGATAATCACACGACAATATTTGAGAACGTTTTTCGCTAGCATTGTTAGAGCCATTTTGAATTTTCAGCAACGTTAACGTTATGGTGATGTATTAGTGCGCACTGATGTTGATGCATAAATTTAATAGAAATGTGAAAGAAACTTTCATTTATTAATTTAAAATCATACGCGCATTGATGAAGTTTTCCGTCCAAATTTTTCTTTGATGCATCGATCAAAGAAAAAATCATTATATTCATTTCTTAAATCAATAACCATCTATAATTTACAAAGCCTTTCATTTATTAAATTCATCTGCAACTAATTTCCTCCATGGAAAAACTTTAAAAAGAAAATAAGTTCCCAAAAAATGTTCTTAAATAAAGTTGATTTACAAATATATATAATTTTATGGTTTACAATAATGAAGTTATTCAAAAAAAAAAAAAGAAAAAAAAACACTTAAAAAATTAAGATATATAAAAGATATATTTTCTGGTTTTTAATACTTGAAATATTTTTAATTTAACAGTAAGATTATGGAAAATATAAAATTTTTATGTACGTCGACTAGAATTATTTCACGTTCAAAAGTATTTATTCTGTGAATCCTTGGAGGACGGACGTTGTTTCAAAGTTTGTTATTTACCTCCTGCCGCCCCGCCTCCGCCATTTGTTTGTTGTTTAAATTTATGTTTTAGCGTTTTCAGACCCATTTTCATGATTTTTCTGTTAAATCTAAGTGGTAATTACTGTAAATTTGGATTATCTCCCTTTACAAAATTGGTTTTATTTCTCATCTTGATATCTTGTGTCTGCTAAAAATTATATGTCATTATTAATAATACTTTTGAGAATTTCAAACAAATTATTAAACGTCACAAAGGTGGCAACACACGACAAACTGTTTTACAGACTTTTTACTCATTGAAGGAGGATAAGATAAGGTGTTCTAGCTTTGAAAGGATTATGGAAAGAAATTAACCAGTTGATGGGTAACCGTGGTATCAAAATACTTATTGCATTAAAATAAATATATTCAGAGTAAAATAAGGGACCATAATAGATAAGAACAGCTGTGTGCCAGGTGATTTGGTCACGGTAATCACTATATTAAGGAGTACACAGCCACAGGCAATAACATAACTTTAAATAGAGACGCCAATTACAATATTATAAAAATACAAGAGCAGAGCATGTTTAGATTGCATTTTTGGGGAAGTTTTTGATATTTTGTACAAATACATGTATGAAAAAAATATATACATCCGAATATCCGAGTGGCAATTTATGAATCCAATACTTCGATGTTCGATCGAGTAATGTTAATATCACTAGGGCAGTACAAATAATTAACTTTATAAACTTTTCAACTTCCTTTATTATATAAATATAAAAAAAAAAAATCTTTTTAAATATGTTTATTCAGCTTAAAGATCGAGTGTGTACAATATATGTTTAGAATTATAACCAAGAAAAAAACATTTTTTTATTATACTATATTAGAATTATTCAATGCCACCCATTTAAATTCCGACATACGCAACAAATGTATATTTATACGTACTAAAAATACAGCAGAAATATTTAGACACATTAAATATACAGCGGAATAATCTGAAACCTAACATATAGATCTATGTACAATTCTTTTAATCTTCACTTTAATTCGTCAAATTATTTATTCGATTTAATCAAGAAAATTTCTTACTACCTCTTTCAATTTTTCGAGATTACCTCTTCTTTTTTTCTCATAGGTGTTATCTAATTTGCTTTCTTCCAATTCGCGCTCAGACTCCATTGCGTCATCATCATCATCATCATCAAAGCTATTGTTATCATTGTTTCTTTTGTCATCGTCATCAATGAGGTCGCTGTTCTCGGTTTCCTGTCTTTTTCTAGTGGACCAGGTACATATCTTGTAATTGTCATCAAAGACGAGGCCTCCAGGACACGACTTTAAATACGGTACACCATTACTGCATTGGTAAAATCTGCCCGGGTTAAGAGGGTCAGCAAATGTCTGGTAACCTGCTCTTGGACACTCTGCAGTTTTTCTGGAAACGCATGTTTGATAATCTTTGTTGAATTGAGTCCCAGGGGCACAAGGCATAACAAATGACCCACCAAACTCATCACACTGAATAAACTTTGTCTTGTCTTTCGGATATGGTATGTGATAAATGTTACCCTTAGGTATACACATGGAAATGGAGTTCGAGGGTTGAACTATACCTACATAAAATAAATTATCTAAATTGAATGTATAGTTTTATTTGATTACATTTGCAATACAGTATGATTTGCTCTTACAACAAATAATTACAGTTGAGTGGCTTTACCCAACAAATCACTAATACGTATACGTATTCCAAATTTTAGCACAGGAAGTACATTTGATAAGAGATGTGTGCAAAATACACACCCCTCATTTCTTATCTCATCCTGTTAAGAAGAATGATCTAAATGTAAGAGGTATCTAGAAATATGTCTAGATAAATTTGCTTAATAATCAAGTGAAAGAAAGAAATTTAAATCGTTTATTAGGCAACAGAATATGTATGAAGTGGAATAATTGTCAAGTAAAGGGTTCCCTTGGTATTTTATAAAATCAAATAACACGTACTCGTATGTGCAGAACAATGATTCTTTTTTTAAATAGGTTAGGATATTATTCTAAATATGTACATGTATATCTGATTACCAGTTTCACAATTTGAGCCCGTGTATCCAGTTTGGCAATAGCAGGAGAAACCACTGGGTGAGCTAATACAGCTACCTCCATTTTGACAAGATGAAGACCGACAGTGGTTTACAATGACATTGCATGCTTTACCAGTATATCCGTTCGGGCACGAACAGTGGAAGTTGTTTACGAGATCCGAGCACGATCCACCATTCCTGCATGGGTTTGGTGCGCAATCGTCAATATTGACTTCGCAATGCCTTCCAGAAAAACCAAAGGCACAATAGCATCGATAACCATTACCGTTCTTCGAACAAGTTCCATGGTTTTGACATGGTGAGCTTTCGCACATATTAACTTCGTCTTCACATGACCTCCCAGTGTATCCAGAAGCACACTGACATGTAAAACCTCTTGGGAGATCTACGCATGTGCCGTCATTTTTACATGGACTTCTTTCACATTCATCTGATAAATAAAATTATACTAGTGTTTACTGAAATGAAAATGATAACTTCAGTTGCATTATATATACACATTTTACAACGTTTTCCATACATTACCCTTTTGTACCTTACTCACAAACGGCACAAGTCTTTAATGAAGTGTGCACGTACTTTTTCTTTTTTTTTCTATTGTACAAATATATTTAGATATACTTATCCTCCTTTGTCAACATTTGCCCACCTATTGCTTGACTGAAGGTAATACTAAACATGCTAAACGTGTTGGTCCTTGTTTTGCAATACTCCATCGTTGTAACTAACTTTCCTATGTAATGAACAAATACAGTCCTTCCTCGGTTTTTAATCGAGAACGAGGCTGGATCGTTGTCTCGTGCTTCTCCTTTCACGTCATAAAAAACTTCACTTGGGGTAGATGTTTCAGCTGAAGCAAAGAGTTCGACCTCTCCACAGGTAACGTTTGCCTAAAACAAAATCTAATACATGGTTTTTCCTATATGACAACCTAATGTATCTATGTCCTCTTACAGAGTTATTTTTTAATCAAACTGTAAGAAATCGACACCAAACATTAAATAAAACCCTGATGTAGATAATTGATATGAAGAAACAACCCGTTTTCACATTTAATGCTATGAAACCAAGATTGAAGAGCTAAATATATCATTTAATATCCATAAAATACTTGATTCTGATTGGATAAAAACTTCTTTTGACAACTGCATCAATAAAATCTAGAGTTCGGTTGCACTAAGCAGCCGGAACTACTTTGACAGTCGGTACATGTATATCCCCCGCTTCCAGGTTACTTTTTGAAGGAAAAATTGAATACCTTTGCTTTAATAAATATTTTTCTGAATTTCGGAATCTGTCCGTTACGTTCCTGACTTATTTTCTACTTTCGTTTCATTTTGAATTATCCCCCTTT